TGCGTTGGGTTCATCGGCATTTCGTTTGTCCAGCTTGTGAATCGAATAAGCGTCCAAAAGCTCGGCAACCAGGAGCGGTATTGCGATCGTTTCGGTTTAACTATGTCGTTGGATGCGATACGTTTACGGTCAAAACAGTCATGGGTTTGGAGTTCAGTTTCGTGCATACCATCAGCTGGGGGGCGAACTACCAGATCGTGGAGCGCATCTCCGGGAGCGTCTCAGCACAGGCCACCTGGGAGGCAGTTCAGCGTTCTTGGCATCGCCATTACGGGCCGCCTCGCATTCTTGTCGTGGACCAGGGCACGGAGTCCAAGGCAGAGTTCCAGGACCGGGCTCGAGAATATGCCACCCTCGTCCACACCATCAATCTGAGGTCACCGTGGGAGAATGGCAAGACTGAGAGACACGTAGGCTGGTGGAAAAGTATCTTCCAGAAGTCAGAGACCATCGAGCCGTGCAACAACATCAGCGAGATCGACATGCTTGCCAATTTTGTGACACAGGCCAAGAACAGGTTCACCAACCGAAGTGGATTCAGCCCAGCTCAACGAGTATTTGGCGAAGACCTACGACAACCAGGTTGTTTGCTTAGTGACGACGTTAGCCCCGAGATGCTCCACACTGCACCTTCCATGGAGTACCAGGGGCAATGAGGCAAGCAGCTATGCAATCAGCCGTCAGCCTCAGGGACCAGCAGACCATGCAGAAAGCACTCAAGAGCCGTATGCGCAAGGAGCAGGAGCCGTTGAAGGACGGCGAGGTGGTGTTTATCTGGAGGCGAGTTACAGTTCGACAGCCCGACGGGAGCATCGATTACAAAGTGGGATGGAGCGGACCGGCTACGGTTGTCTCTACCACTCAGAATGGATCTACGGTATTCGCCTACATGCGTGGTGTCCTCTTCAAGTGCGCCAGGATCCAGGTTCGGGCAGCTACCAACGAGGAGAGCATGGGTGCCGAGATCGCCAACGAGATGCTCCACAGCCTCAAAGAGAAGCTCAACCAGGTTCACAAGCAGCGGGGGTTCAGGGACATCAGCGGAGATGGAGAGCCGCCGCAGGAGGACGAGGTTGTCGACACAGAGCCACCGCAACAAGCTCCACCACCTGAAGGCGCAGAAGGAGGCGATGAGGAAGTAATCAGGCAGAGCAGCCAGCAGCCCGAGAGCGAACCTCGGGCTCCCTCATCTGATCAAGGTTCACGTCGAGGCATCGTTGCGAAGGCAGAGGAGGAGGCTGTTGGGGCGCCGCCAAGAAGCAAGCCAAGGTTCGACGACATGGAGCTGGACCGCCTGAGATTGGCATCATCATCAGCGTCGAGTTCAGGACGTACTGCGGCAGGTACAGTAGCTCCATGGCCAGCTCCGTCTGGGTTCACCACGCCAAGCGCGTTTTGGCAGCAGCCCGGCGACAACGAGCGTTTCGTAGAGGTATGTGACTTCACGAAGGGCACCTACACGAACTTCAATGACGCCGAGAAGAGCGATTTCATTGCTATGGATGAGGTGTGGAACTACAGGAGGCTGGAGAGCGGGCCGTGGCGACCAGTCACAGGCTTCGAAAATGACAAGCTCGTTGCGTTCAGCATCGAGGATTCTTGGGCGTGCCTCAGCTACCGCGGGAACTTCTATATCATGAAGGCCAAGTCCGAGGCGGCAGAGATCAAGCACAACACCATCAGCGACGACGACTGGCCGCAGTTCATCGCGGCGATTGCGAAGGAGTGGAACTCTGTTGTCGGAATCAAGGCAGTAACCGTCATCATGCCGGGCGACGCGGAGGAGATTCGCAAGAGCAAGCGCGAGCGGATCATCGCCAGTCGGATCGCACTGCGCTGGGGACCTACCGAGCAGGGCGTGGCTGCAAAGGCGAGATGGGTTGTGCATGGATTCAAGGACCCGGACATCATGGAGATCGAACGGAGTTGCCCTACACCACAGCTGGTTACTCTTCACATTTCGATGCGGGCGCTCGCTGCGAGGGAGTTCGAGGCCAACGTGGGCGACGTTGCGACCGCGTTCATGCAGGGCGATCCGAGCAAGAGGACTAAGCCGCTGCGCGCCGAGCCGCCACCAGGAGGATACCTTGAAGCACTTCGAGCACCACCAGGTAGCATCATTCGTCTAGATCGTGAAGTTTACGGACTTGTCAGTGGAATGGCAGCATGGAGGAGTACAATGGTTGATCGTCTCAACAAGCTCGAATACCGCATGAGCATCTACGATCCCTGCTTGTTCTGCCTCTTCAATAACAAGCAGCATGGCAAGGATGACGACTACATTGTGCAGGGCATTGTGGTTCTTGAAGTTGATGACGCGCTATCCGGAGGCAACGAGAAGCACATTGACAAGATGAACCAGCTCAAGTCCATGATCAAGTTCGGCCGCTGGCATAATCTATATCGTGATGGTCCACATTCTTTTGCGGGCCGACGGTTTTCACAGGAGAAGGATTTCGGATTCCGCATTGACATGGAGCGGTGCATCAAGGAGAAGTTGAATCCGATCGAGTTCAAGCGTGGAAGATTGTCAGATTCCAAGGGCCAACCTACAGAAGGTGAAAAAGGTCAACTTCGTGCAGTTATTGGTGGTCTTGGATGGTTTGCAAGGCAAGCGAGGCCAGACGAGGCGACCACAGCTTCACTACTTCAGAGTTTGTTCTGCAACGCTGTGATGAAGGACATCTCCGACGCCAGCTCCGCAGTACGACGACTCAAAGCAGATCCAGTTCTTGGGCTTCGAATCGTGCCTATCGAGCCTACCGAGGCCAGAGTTGCGAGCGTTAGCGACGGCAGCTTCGACACCGACAAGGAGACGGGCGCTTCTCAAGGCGGATTTCTCGTGGGCATGACGACGAAGGCGCTGAGCGACAACGAGGGCGCACCGTTCAGCATCATGAGCTGGGTCAGCCACAAGATCAAGCGGGTCGTGGGTACCATGGCGGCGGAGAGTTTCAGTTTCAGCGACGCGCTGGCGGAGGCGGAATGGATCTGGTCTCTATGGCAGGAGACTATGTGGAGCGATTTCGACACGAGTTCGAGGAGAAGGACATCGATTCCAGAGCGTGAGGACCCCACGGTTGCAGTTCTCAAGAGCGACAGTACCATCTCAGTTGATCCCAGCATCGTGAGTGTGGTAGATGCAAAATTGTTGTTCGACAACCTCGTGAAGGAGACGACTGGAGGTAGCGATAGACGAGCAGCTCTTGAATTGTGTGTATGCCGACAGTCTATGCGTGCCATTGGATGCCGTGCAAGGTGGGTTCAGGATCACTGTATGCCGGCGGATGCGTTTACCAAGAGGTCGCCTAACACTGCAGTTCTCACCTAGTTGATGCGATCTGGTCGTTTCAGAATTTTCGACGAGCAAGGTGAATTGCAGAAAAGAGTTGCAGAGAAGGCCAGGAGAGGATTTGTGCCGCGACCGCACAAACGTGAGCAGCTCGACAGGCAGTCTGTAGGATGCGCTGTCACCCCGTCGCATGTTTCGAGGTGGCCTCCATGTGTTTTCATTTCATAGCGATTTTGTATAATAGCGTTTGCAGCTGGCAGATGTTTGTATCGTATCACGCTGTGGCCAAAGACTTTCTTGGGGGCTGTGATTTCAGCTTTCTTGATGTTATAGATCTCTTTCCAGAGTGTGTGTCTGGAAGTCTGGAGAGGCCTCAGTTGGCCACAGTCGTTTCACATTGCAGTTGTGTTTCGTCCGCAGCCGGCTTGGGTCAGATGTGCGCGCAGTGGAAAAGAGTCCGCGATTCTTGTTTCGTTTTATTTGCTTTCTAACCTCAGTGGCAGCGCCCGCATGCATGCCCGTGCCCTTGTTGGCATACCCCTCAAACGTTGCGCGGCCCCAAAGTGAGCTCCACCGAAGGTCCCAATGACAGCGCCCGCATGCGTGCCCGCGTCCATTCTCGCACACCCCTCGTACGTTTCGTGGCATCATTGGGAGCTCCACCAAAGGCCCCTGTGGCAGTGCCCGCATGTCTGCCCGCGCCCTTGTCGGCACAACCCCCACGCACTTCGTGGCTTCATGGGGAGCTCCACCGAAGGCCGCAGTGGCAGGGTTCGCATGTGTGCCCGCTCCCATTTCGGCTCACCCCTCGCACGCTTCGTGGCCCCATTGGGGTGGTTCCACCGAAGGCGTTTGTGGCAGCGCCCCCTTGCGTGCCCGCGACCATGGTGGCACACCTCGCACACTTGTCGCGTCCCCCTAGGTCGCTCCACCAAAGTCCCCAGCAAGGCTCGTTTCGTTTCCTCCGATTCGATTCGATTCGATTCGATTCGATTCGACTTGGGATTCCGATTTCTCAATTGAGGCCCACTAGCTTGTCGATTTCCGCCGATTCGACTCCTCCCGACTCGGCTGCCGATTTCTGCCGATCCGATTCATGTCGATCGCCGATCCGATTTATCGATTCGATTCTGGGCTCTCCTGTTGCAACGGCCGCATGCGTGCCCACGCCCACATCGGCACACTCCTCACGCGCTTCGTAACCCCATTGGGAGCTCAGGGAGCTCCACCGAAGGCCCCAGGGGCAGCACCCGCATGGCTCGATTTGCATCCATTTTGTGTCGCGCTGCCTCTAAAGAGATGGTCGTATCCTTCGCCGCTCGCAGTTTGGCGGCCCTCTCCTTTGCATCACGTGCCTTGCGGCACTCGCGCCTGCCACTGTTTGGGTCCTCTATCATATTCAATCGGCGATCCTAGAGCTCCTGATCTCCTCCCCCGTTTTTTCTCCCATATCCGTATCTCATGGTACCGGCGGCCCCAGAAACGTCCCCCCCCTTCGAGGCCGGGCCGAAACAGGTGCAGAACGCCAGGATTGAAGCAACAGCTCCTTCGGAGGTCTTCGACGCTGGCGTGAGGGAAGCACGGATGAGAATTGCTGGCGTCCCAGTCTGGTGGGCAGGGAACTCCACGATGCTGACGACTGGCCAGAGGTGAGCAGGAGGGGTCGGGCGACGACGCCGGCGGCGAGCACGACGACGAGCAGCAGAAGGTCTGGCTACCCGGTGTACGACCGCGACCCGCTGGACCCGGGGGTCCTGCGTTCCGCGGCGGCGCCGCCGGGGGTGGGCGTGCGGCTGCCCCCGCAGCGCCGGGTCACCAGCCCGCACGGGTGCTGGACAACGTTTCGGGCCACTTGGACTTCGAGGATCGAACCTCGAGGATCGAACCTGGAGGATCGAGCTTCGAGGCTCGTGGTGTTTCCTGTTGCTGGCTCTTTCTGGGCGTCTGGGGGGCTTCTCGTCGCCAGGTCTGGATCCGCCTCGAAACTCAGACCAGAACGAACGCACCCCTGGACACGTCCAAGGTCGACTTGCCCCCTGGGCCCAGACCCCCCCGCGTCGCGGCAAAAGTTACGACGGGAGCGTATCGGCCGTTGCGGCTAGCGCTGGCCCGCCCCTAGAACCGTCAAAAAGCGTCTCAGGATGAGGCGCTCATCCCTGGGAAGGGGTCGAGACATTCGGAGGTCCACGTTGCGTCTTGATCTGCAGCTCTCGGCGGAGGGGACAGGCTGTTTTTCTGCCCTCATCCCTTCGCCTTCCCCCCCTCCTCCTCCCTCCGCCTCCTCCTCCCCCTCCTCCTCCATTCCTTCTCCTTCTAGATAATTTCTCCTTGTCGCACCCCGAGGCCAGTTTTTAGGGCGGGCCAGGCGCTTCGCCTGAGACTTCCAAACCATTTATGATTCTGAAGCAGGTGATAACAGTTTCACAGATGGAGGGCGGGCCGTTTTCGAAATGTGGCTCGCGCCTTAGCGCCGCGTACATTCGCGTAAACAAATTGCAAGAGCTTCACGGATTGAGGGCGTGTGGTTTTCAAAATGTGGTTTTCGCCTTAGTGCCTTTTTAGATATTTGCAAGATCTTCACGGATTGAGGGCGGTTCCTTTTCAAAATGTGGCTCTCGCCCTAGCGCCGCGCACATTCGTCTTAAACATTTGCAAGAGCTTCACGGATCGAGGGCGGTTCCTTTTCAAGGTGTGGCTCTCGCCTTAGCGCCGCGCGCATTAGTTTTAAACATCGCAAGAGCTTCACGGATTCCAGTGATCAGCGTACCAGAAAGTGCGTTTCGGAAGGATTCAGGATTATGCGAGCGCAACAGTTATGTTGATTCGCTGTGTTGAAGCCCCAGCAGTGGCGTTCTGGCACGATTCTGGATCGTCAAGACGCAGCAACCAGGTTGATACGTCGCGTTGAAATCCCGAGAACAGTGTTTTGGTACGCTTCAGGATCTTCAAACGGTTGCTTCCAACGAGGCAGTTCCCTCAATGGAAATGAACCGTTGTAGGGGCCTGTGAAGAGGGAGCTTGGAGGGAGGGTTAATTCCAACATCGTTGATGACTCTTGGGTTTCCACTGGTCCCCCTCCTCCTCCTCCGACTTCTGGCTGACCGACGCGCTCTTCGAGAGGCGGGCTGCGACGCCACGGACATGGCCTTCGCTTTGGCCAGGGCTTCGCGCGCGCTGCGCGGCCACCGCCGAGTTCGCCTCGACAGCGAGGTGCAGCTCCTCGTCGACAACATGCATGAGGCGTGGCAGCGTCGGCAGTTCGCCGAGGTATGGCGCTTGGGCCACCTGCTGGCAGCACAGTGCAAGGGGCCGCGGCGTAGGCGCTACAACGTCGCGGACAGCCTCCTTCCACGGCGGACCGAGATCGTGAGGCATTTCGCCCAGGTCGGTGCCAACGGCGGCCTCGATGCGATCCCGGTCGAGTTCACGGAGTATCGCCAGCAGTATCTGGATTCCCTGCCCAGCGCCCGGATGTACGCGTACGACCACCTCGCCACTAGCCGTGAGGATTTCGAGAAGTTGGTTGATGTGTTGTCGAAGTCGTCTCGACGTCGTGCTGCTCCCCCCCACAGTGTTCCCACGGAAGTACTTCGACTTGCACTCGAACCTTGGCGTCGGTATGATGGCCGACGACGGCGACGGCGCCCACGGCGCCCTGGAGATGAAGACGAGGAGGAAGCTGACGGTCCTCTTCAGTCTCGAGTCGAGCTACAGCTGCGGCATCGTCTCGCTGGCGATCGGAGCGTGCTAGGACAGGTACTCGAGGAGATCGACACGCCCATCACCGAGCGCGCCCTGAAGACCATCCTCCCCCACATCAGGAGGGTCAGGCGCGTGCCCCTCATCTGGCACCACTTGGTCACTATGGGGCTGGACAAACACAACGGGAAGTCTGAGTTCAACGCCAAGCGCTTCATCCACGGCCTGTGTAGGGTTGGGACAGCCTGGTACAAAGCGCAATTACAGCGAGCTCCACCTGACGAACAACCACCTCGAGAGCACGGCTACCAGCGAGGTCGCAACCGAGAGGGCGCTCTCCTGTGCCAAGAAGGGTTTCTCGGTCGTCTTCGGCGCCTCGGCGATTCGACCCTCACTACGAAGGAGGACATGAGTAACGCATTCGGCTCCTCTGCTCCCACCGCCGTGCGCCAGGCAGTCGAGAAGGTGGTGCGTCCCGAGGAGCAGGAGTACTTCCACCAGCGTCACGAGCTCAGCACGTTCCGCGTCTCGGGGGCCGACGGGGACCAGGACCTCCACAACCGCTGCGGCGCCTTCATGGGCGACACCCCTGCGGCGCTGTTCTTCGCGCGGACCTTCCGCGAGCCCATCGCGGCATGGCTTCGACGGCTTCGCGTTGCCGCCTGGGCTACCTACGAGCTGCCCGAGACTCCGACGACCTACTCGGAGTGGAAGGCCCTGCCGCTCCTCCCGCCCACCCCGCGTGCGGACATCGACACCACGATCTGGCCGAGCGAGGCGCTATGCACGGCGTGGTGCCCGCTACTGGACGCTGCGGTACATTTGGGTACTCGGATCTACGCCGACGACGCCAACCACACGAGCATCGTAGTTTCGGCGCGGAACGCTGGCTACGTGTCCCACCACTCCCACTACGAGCTGAAGCGTGCCATGGAACCCTACGGCTACACGCACAACCCGTCCAAGAGCTCGGTGTCGCCTTGCTTCCTAGGCCGCGGCTCCAAGAACGAGGTGCGCCGGCTTTTCAGCGGCGCTGATGCCATAGCGGGAGTGGTGCAGTACGGCAACGTGGCTCTCGGCACCCAGACATCTATCACGGGCAGCGCGCAGACTGAGCTTCGGCGCAGGCTGCAAGCTGCCCGCAGGGGATACTACAGCATGGGCCGCTTCTGGGCGCGCAACCGCATCTGGCGACTGACGCGGATCATTTTCGGGTCCGTGGTGCAGGAGGCGGCGTACAGTGGTTTGAATGTTCTGACCCTCAGCGAGACGCAACGCCGACAGCTGGATAACGTACTCTCGAGTCTTGGCCGTCGTCTTCTCGCTGGTGCCGCATGCCAGAAGATCCCTCCTCTTGCCGGCGATGCTACTCCTCGGTTCGATGACAACGGCAAGCCGCTGCTGCGCTACAGGGCAATGACAGGCGAGGCCGTGTTGAGGAGGCTTGGCGTAGACCTTGCGCAGACTGAGCTTCGCGTTCGGCGACTTCGTCAGTATTAGCGCTGGCTTCGTCTCCCTGGTCGCCGCCCTCAGGAGCTCGCGGTTGTGTCTGGCGAGCTGCCGCTGGACAGGGCGCCGACGTTGCTGGACGACGGCTCTGTGGCGGACGACGCCAACCCGTGCGCGCTGCGGTTCGTCGCCGATGTTGTCGCGCTGCTGGAGGTTGCCGAGGCGACAGAGCTGCGATAGGACCTGCTTACCCCAGGTGGCGCTCTGAACGTTGTCGCGCTGTTCGCCCGCGAGGACCTGTGCTGGATCCTGGGCTGTTGCGGGCGCAGGCGCGGACGGTGGCGATACCGCCGCCAGGCTGGATGCCCGCCGCCAGCGATGGTGCGGCGCCTCCGCCGCCTACCGCGACTTGGCACTGCGAGCTGCTGGACGCCGAGGGCGTCCAGCGCGGGCGCGCGTTCGCGACGCGCCGTGCTCTGGTGGCGCATCAGAAGTTCTAAAAAATGTTGGTCACGGATGTCGCTCTACGCTCCACTCCATCGTTGTCACCAATCATTGCTTGTTCTGTGCCAGCGCCGTCAGGACTCGTCGGATAGCTCAGGAACACGCGGCTGCGGCCTGTTTGACTCGCAGATGCCCAGTGCAGAGATCCCTATGCTACCACGAGATCGAGGGGCCCCAGTCTCTGATGTGCCCCTTGGCCTCTATCAAAGTGTCGGCGTTGGTACCTGGTTCCAATATCCTGGAGCCTGCGCGTTCGGTGGGTGGGTGGGTGGGTGGGGGGGGGGGGGGGGGGGGCTTCGAGTCCCGCGAGGCCCTGCAGGCGCACTTGCTCGAGCTGTGCGCGCCGAAGCTTGTTCCCGAGCGATCCGCCGCAGGTGGTGTGCATGGCCTATCGCCTCAGCCCGCAGGTGCTGCAGGCAGCAACCGCCCAGGGCCGCGCCCGCCCCCGCAGTCGCCGAGTCGCGCCAGCGCGCGCTGGCCGCGGTGGCTCCGCGAGTGCCAGCAGTGCCGCGCGCCCTCGCCGCGCTCGGCGGCGGCCGCAGCGCCGACGCGCGCGCCGCGGCGCCAACCCCGCAGCCCGCAGCGGGAGGCGCTGCCGCAGCCCGCCTCGCCCAAAGGGCCCGCGGCGGGCGCCGCGGGGCGCGGGGCGAGCTGGCCCAGAGCTACGGCCTGCCGCAGGACGCGCTGGATCGCCTCTCGCCGATGGAGATGCAGTTCGCGCTGAAGCTCACTCCCGCCATGGCAAGGGCGATCTTCGGCAACTCGTGCAATAGCAGGCAGCTGATGGCGACGACATGCCAGGCGCTGTTGGTGGCGGGGAGTTCGGTGATGGCGATAGCTGGTTTCACGGCAGGGCGGGCGTGCGCGGCGGAGGCGCAGAGGCTTCGCGGTCTCCGCGCCGCCGACCCCGCTCAGCATCGCGCTCCAGAGCTGGTCATGGGGCCCGCCTGCGTGCAGGTGTTCCTGCAGATCGCGCTGGCCGTGCGCGACGCGGGCGATCAGGTGGGGCTTCGCAACGAGGACGAGTGGGCGGCGATCTACGGCAGGCTCGAACCTATGGACATCGAAGCCCTGACCATGACGATCCGCGGGTGCCGAGTGTCGCAGCGCTGGAGCGCCATCGAGGTCTGCTTCCTGAAGTGCACCGAGCAGCTGGGGGCGGAGATCAAGCCTGGCCCCGCCCCGCGAGGCCACCAGGAGAGGCTGCTCCAGCTGGCAATGGATCAGCTAGCCTAGATGGAGCGCGTCGGCAAGCAAGCTGACGTCGGCAGGCAGCAGGATGCCCGCCAGAAGTGACCAGTGAGAAAGATGTGGCCACTGGCGGCGGCGACGACGGACGCCCAGTGATCGCTTCCCCGTGCAAGGCCGCGGGGGGACCAGTGAATGATCCTTCATCATATGTGTTTTCTCCTTCCCTTCCGACGCCCGCGCAGGTTGTGGCCCCTCTCCCCCCTCGGCACAGTAGCAGCAGCAAGACTTCAGCACGTGTGCAGCGCAGCGCGCCGCGAAGCAAAAGCGAAGTATATTTAAAGCATTTCGAGAAACTCAGCCTGATGGAACGTTTCAAACTTCCCGAATCTCACCGCAAGTGGTAGAGCGAACATGCAGCTCGGGGCTCCCAGGGAGGGCCCGCCATTATTTTTTTTGGGTGTGCGCCCGCTGCAGGTGGTACATGTCGCAGGAGTTATTCTTCGATGTGTTCCAGTGGTTGACCTTCGGCCCGAGGCCCGAATCAGCGACCGACCGACCGACCTCCTCCTCCTCCTCCTTTTCCCCCTTCTCCTCCTCCTCCTCCTCCTCCTCCTCCTCCTACTCCTCCTCCTCCTCCTCCTCCTCCTGCGCAGCGCCACCGAGCGGCTTCCCCAGCGTCCGACACCGCGGCGCCCGTGCCGCGCGCGGCGGGCAGGCTAGCGGCGCGCGCGCCGTACCCATGCCAGGGGGCGTCTTTCCAGAGGGATGAACTGGGGGGTGGAGAGCCACACTTGCCATACGCTACCAAGAGGGGGAGGGAGTAGGGAGAGGCCTCGCCGCCGTGCGTTTATGCACAGTCAGTGGCCCGCAGTGCCCGTCGCCGAATCGGTCGGCTTGAGCACTTCCGACCGGGACGTCTCACACACAGGTACGTCTGTTAGGCCCACTCATGGTGGGACGTTCTCTTGGACGGTCTGTACACATGTTAAGGACTACTGAGGGTGTCTGGTAGCTGGTCTAATGATGACTGGGGGCGTGCGCACATCGCTAGGGGAGAGAGTCGGAATTTACGGGGTATCATGTGTTGAACTCGGTGCGGTGCTTGCCGCTTCTGCTTGCTGTCTTTCTTTCCCCATCTGCCGCTTGGATTTGGCGACAGGCCATTTCCACTGACGTATCTTCTTAGCCGTGTTGTATAGGCAGCCGTGTTCTCCAGTGCGGATCTCCTGCTTGACCTCTTGCAGCTGCCCTTCATCGATGACTGGCAGCTCGATGGCATCCACCTTCTCAGTGTGCGTCGGCTTTACCGCATTGGGCAGTTGGCGTCTCGACGCTGCCTCTTTCTCGTAGATCCCATGTCCTCGAAATCGTTCTCAGCCCCCGACATATGGGCAGACAGCCATGGAGTTACTGCGGAAGTAGATCCACGGCTGTCTGGTTGTCTCCCGACTGCAGTGTTTCGATCGCCTTCTAGGTTCTAGATCCGCTCGTTCACGCGTGCGGCCGTGGGTGTGGTCCAATCCACTTGCGACTGGAACCTTTCCAATGGAGGCAGCGGTAGGCTGTACATCCTGTGATTTCCCCTCAGGTCGAGCACGTTCCAGTCAGATATGGCATGATGCGGACGGGCAGGCCCTGCTTGAGGGATGTGGCGGCGCTCTGCTCTGGAGCTGGCTTTGGAGGGGGTAGGCTCGCCTTCTCGTCAAGCTGGGGCTCATCATCGCACCTCGGGGGGGCGTCGGCAGCATTCAGATCGCGGACGCGCCGCCCTTGCGGGTCCGCGGGGAAGGCCCCCCGACCCCGTGCCGCTCCCAGGGCACATGAGAACGAGGGGAGGTGAATCATCTTGGGGCCACGAATGCTCATTCTTGCCAGCGGGCCAAGAATTCATAATCGCTTGCCTTGCCATATTGAGGTTGGTCCTGATGGCGAGCGGCACCCAGGAATCAGGAAACGTCATCCGCGGACTGTGCCCGCAGCGGGTGAGAATGAGGTGCGGGTCCGTCCGCGGAAAGCGCCGAGCGAACAGTTTACGAAAAATGATCGTGCGAATTGACATGGAGTTTGTCTGCAGGAAGGACGGGGCCGAGAAGCCAGGAAACTGTTTTTCGGGACCACGTCTTAATTCGAAACCATAGATTAATTCGACATCTGCTTCGTTTTAAGAAACGTATACAGCAACTTACCTGAGGTATGGTTTCCACGGGCGTAGGGCACGAATGAACATACGTGACCTTAGACTGGACCGCTTCCCCCCTTACGTGAGAGAGGCTTCTGGAACACCAGTGTCGCGAACGCGGCCAGCATACGGGCCCACGGGGAAGGCCCCCGACTCAGTACCGCTCCCGAGGAACACTAGGGACGCATAAGCAGGATCATTCTGACGAGCGAGGCCAGCATGCAGGTCCGTGGGGGAGCCCCCCGACCCCGACCCGAGGGCTACGTAGGAGACACCACCGCCATGCCGTCATCGCGTTGCGGAGCGACGTACTCCTCCTCCGCCTCCTCCTCCTCCTCCTCCGCCTGTTGCACGTCGTCGACGTCGTCGTCGTCGCCGTTCCAGGGCGTTCTCGAACGCTCTCAGAGCGTTCCGAAGCGTTCTGAGAAGGCCGCGGCGCCCGGCGCCGGGGTAAGGTACGCCCAGCTGGGGGCCCCTGCCGGTCTTGCTCGTGAGGGTGGGCCCGCCTCGGCGGGCGGCGGGGCGTGGCCAAGGTGCCGGAAGGACGGGGGGTAGGTGCAGACTCGGGCAGCCGCCGAAGCCGTCACCATGGTCCTGGCCGCCGTCGTGACCCTGGATGGCAGGCGAGGTTTCTCCCCAACCCCCCGAGTTCCACCCGAAAAGTTTTGCCGCTCACAAGAGGGGGGGAACTTTGGGATGGTCCGCCAGGGCGCTATGCGGACGCACCCCTAACGAGGATGGACGTCCCCCATCGTATATCCCAGGGTTGTGCCCAGTCGAAACCCTGCAAAGTCGGGGATTGCGGTTGCCATATCCTCAGTTACTGGAGGCCGCAGTAGTCCTTCCGAGGCGGGGATCTGTACATAACCGCCGCCTGGAGGGTTGAATTTCGGAGACCTCGACAGGCGGTGGATATGGACACATTCGGGCTCCATGGGGCTCAAATGTGTCCGTATCCACTGCCCGCTGGGATCCCAAGACGTCAGTTTCACAGGCGGTGGTTCTGTCCCCGCCTCGCAGTCTTGGCCGCCGTCCTAGCTGTGCTGGATGTCGTTGTAGCCGTGGAGGCCGTTCGTAGTAGTCCTGGGCGCTGTTGTAGCTGTCGCAGTGGTCGACAGCGCTGCAGTCTGGGACCTCGATGGCGATTTGTTGGTACTCAACCGGCTGGTCGGCGAAGCTGACCCCGCGCCGCAGCGCCGGCTGCTGCTGCGTGACATGTCCGGCCACCTCCTCGCCGTCGTTGTTGTCGAAAACAGTAGGCCCTACCTGCAACTTCTTGTCTACACAATGTTGCCTTGTACGCAACTGCTCGTAGCTCGGCGTGGCCTGGCGCCTCGTCGCGAACGTAATCGCAGCGATGCAATTGAAGTCGTCGCAGTTCACCGCGCTGCCACAACGTGCAGCGTCTCCACCGCGGCGCGGCGCTGCGCGCAGCGGTCCCGGCCAGAGGGTCCTGGGAGCCTGCCTCTCGGACTCGTGCTCGTGGTTTGAAGGTTTGCTCGGGCGGTAGCTCGGAGCCACTCGCGGCCGCCGCCCAGCTGTCATGGCGCTGCAGCTGGAGGATCGGCCGGGGGCGACGGGGCAAGTCCGCGGGGCACGTCGTGGGGCGTTCGCTGGCGAGTGCGCGGAACGGAGTTCTGCCGCAATTGGCCCTCCTAGTCCTTGTCCTCCTCCTCCTTTTTGCGTTGGGCGGACAGAAGGGCACGGCTTGTTGCGTTCCTCGACGAAGTGGGTAAAGACGCCGACTCCGCCTTGTGAGAGCAGATCAAGGCTGCTGCCAGTGCGGATGCAGAGGTTCAAACATGAATTAGTGCCTCCTCCTCCTCCTTCTCCTCCTCCTCCACCTCTTTCTCGCCTCTCCTCCTTTCATCCGCTGTAATTTTTCAACTTTTGGGACCATCTCTGGGGCCCAGGACTTGAGGACAAAGCAAAATACCCGCGACGAAGAACTGGTCCCAGGTAATGGGGCCGAGAGTTCGAGGGCCCGCATCGTGACGAAGCACGACGTCGGAGGTCTGGGGGATGCGCCGCGTCTTCAGCTTGCCAGCCGACGCCACGGGCTCGCCTCGCGCGCCGTGTGAGGGGGTCCCAGCGATGATGCAAGGAACCTGTGAGGACTTATGTTGTTCCAACCTGCTCTAGTCTTATCGCCGTAGAAAACTTCGAGCACCAAGAAGGTATCGAGACCGGACGGTTTTCACGTGTCGGGCCCTGGGAGGCGATGCTCGTTCGACACTGTGCCAGCGTGACGGGCAGACACTGTCTCGATATTTTTCTCTGAGGGCTCGAATGTATTTCTGGCATGTGGTCCGTATGGGCGATGGGAGCAACACAAGCGAGGACCTTGGTAAGGTTCGGTTGGTGGTGCCTTATCTTCTCATGTCCTCTTCTGGCCCGAGCCAGGTCACGGTGATGGGCGATGCGGCCCACCCGATGTCCCCGTTCCGAGCGCAGGGGGCCAACCAGGCGCTCGGCGACGCGGTGCTGCTGGCGGAGGCGCTGTGGGACGGGGTCCGAGTGCACGGCCCCGATGCCGGCCTGGACGCCGCGCTACCGGAGTTCGAGCGGAAGATGCTGGGCCGATCCGCCAGGACTGGTCACGCCGCGCCCAGAGTGCCAAAGGGGGGCCACCACCAGGCATGGGGGGCGCCAGCTCTCTTCCGAGGATCTGAGCTCGTAGGGGGCTTTGTTGGAGGGTCTTGGAAGTTCTGCGGACGCTCTGGGGGATCCCGACGTCTCGGTTTTTGTCGCGACCTCTGTGTCCTGTCTGGGCTTGGCAGGCCGAGGCCTCTGCAGCGCGGGCCCCAGACCACCTCGAGCCATGAGAAAATCACGACGGTAGGTCTTTCGCTGTTTTCGGCCTCTGGGTGCCCTTACCGGGCCTCGGGACTGACAGAAAAGACTCACGACGAAAAACTGGTCCCGGGGAATGGGTCGAAACCTTCCTGTGGGTCGACGTCATGAAACAATCATGGCGTCGGGGGTCTGGGGCCCCTGAGGTCGACCCGTTTCCCGGGACCGGTGTTTCGTCCCGAGCTGTTTTTGGACGTCCCCGTGGCTCGGCAAGGGCCCCCCGGGGCGGAGCCTTCCACACCCTCATGTCGTGTTTCTTCGCGATGCGGGGGGGGGGGGTCGTTGACGGGGGCATGGCACTGTTTGCTCACCGCCCACCAACCCAACCCGAAGGCCCCAATTTACCCTCCCCTCCCAGTGGGTGGAGGGCGACGGGAAACATTGAAAAGCACATGTGGAGCCCGTACCCCCCGAACTCAAAATTTGGGTCTTCGGGTTGGGTTGGGGTGGTTTGGTAGGCAGTCAGTTGCTTCTTTTTCCTTCTCCCCTAGGATGGTGATCGGGTCTCGCGCTCAGCTGGATAGCGGGTCGCTGCCGGCTGCGGCGCTTTGACGCACAATGCCACGAGGGAGAGGGGAGGGAGGGAGGGAGGGAGGGAGTGAGGAATGGGCGGAGGGAGGGAGCAGGGAGCAGAACGGAAAGTGAGGAGGAGGAGGAGGACGAGGAGGAGGACGAGGAGGAGGAGGAACGGAGGAGGAAGAGCGGAGGAGGAGGAGGAATAACAATAGTAATAATAACAATACTGGTAATAAGAAGAAAACGAGCAATACTAATAATATTAATAGTAATGATGATAATATTAATATTACTACTACTAATAATAATAATAAGAATAATAATTATAGCAGTAATTAGAATAATAATACTAATAATAATAAGAATAATAATAACAATAATAAGACTAATAATACGAAGAACAATATTAATACTCAGACAAATAATAATGATACTACTAATCTCAGTAATAAGAGGAGGAGCATGAGGAGGAGGAGGAATACGAGGAGGAGGAGGAGGAGGAGGAGGGAGGGAGGGAGGGAGGGAGGAGGAGGAGGAGGCGGTGGAGGAGGAGGAGGAGGAATAGGAATTTTGGTAAATATATGAATAGGAATGATTCCTCAAAAAGTGCTTGTATTTTGGATACCTTACATGTCTTCCTAAGAAGTTGGATTGGCCCGTCAAGATTTTGCCGCGTTGCCGCCCGTTGCCGCCTCGTTGCCGCCCTCTAGGGATGTCCATCGAGGTTCCACCGCGTCTTCGCCCGTTGGCGCCTCGTTGCCGCCCACTTAAACGATCCGTCGAGGTTCCGCCGCGTCGCCGCCCGTTGCTGCCTCGCTGCCGCCCACTTCTTGGGGGCCCCGTCGAGGTTTGGCCGCTTCGCCGCCCGTTGCCGCCTCGTTGCCGCCCACCGCTGCTTGGGACGTCCTTCGAGTCTGCACCACATGCAGTTCTGGCCCACGCTTCGGTGCGACACGCTATCCACAGCCCCCTTTCCAAGCTCCGACGTCCCGAGCCTTTCCGAGCCTCCTGCTCCGCGGAGCGGAGCGACACACTATCCAGTTGCAAGGCAAAACGTGTCGCTTTGGCCGCCGCCGCGACACTAAGAAACGATCGGACCGCAGCTTGCAATACATACCCTGTCCCACATAGCTTGCACCGTGTAGCTTGCAAGACGTAGAGTGCATCGCATAGCTCACACATCCACAGTGCAACAACTTGCTGGTTGGGACCCACGCTGGCTAGCACGGCAAGAGTGACAACTGCAATAGTGATAACATGTTGATGACAATGACGAAGAGGGACGGTACCGCACTGTTTTTGCTAACTCGTAGAGCCGTTCGTGAAACACACCCGGGGGAACACACAACCACCCCGCTTTCGGGGCCGAAGCGTGGCCCGCAACGCCCCTTTAGTGCGTTGCCCTCGTCATGATTGGGGAGTGCTGCTCTGACTGAGGGCTGTACTTCACCCAACGACGGAAGGGCTGTACTTCACCCCAGGCTGGGCACCGAAGCCCCCACCTCGGCATGTCCCCCCCGCCAATGCTGGTTTCACACGTCCTCCCCACGTCTACGCGCAGCAGTCGGGAGCGCTGCAGAGCGGTGAGCGGGAGGTCGCAGCGAACTCTTGCTCCCGCTTCTCTGCTCGAGCTCACGTGGCTCCTGCTTCGCGAACTCGTGCCCCTGCTTCACTGCTTCCTGCTTCCCAGAGCGCGCATCACCTTCTGCATGCCCACGGACAGCACGACCTCCGACTCCGCAGCACCGTCGACGCCGTCCCGCGTCTCCATGCCGTTGCACACGCTGTCGAGGGCCTCTTTCCCAAGCTCGTCCTTGCCCGCACGCACCTGCATGTTGTTGCTCGCGAGGTCGAAGGACTCGTCCCCGAGCTCGCCCTTGCCCATGTTCATCTGGATCATCGGCTCCACGACCGTCAGCTTTGGCTGCATGGGCGGCTCGAGGTCCGCCTTCATCTTGTACTTCCTGTGCTTGTTCATCTTTCGTGACCTAACCTGGTGCCAGCTCTTCTTCCGTCGCCCAATGTGGTGCCAATGTTGATCATGGCCTCAACGACGCCCTCGCACGAAGACTCATCAATCGTGGCCTTCGTCGCCGCGGTCTCCAGCACAGCAGCCACGAAAGCCGCGGTCTCAATCTGGAGCTTAATCTCGGGCGTGTCGATCACGTCTGCGGCCTTTTGCATGGGCGTCGCCTCAGTTTGGGGGACCACTGGCCTTGCCGAACAGGTTCTGCTCGTCGACTGTTGACTCTACGCCCCCGCTGCCGAAGAGCTCCGCCTCATCGACCGGCTTCTCCTTCCCGTAAGACACCTTCGACGTGTCTTGATCGAGCTCCTCCAACGACTCGTCGTACAGTCGAGGCTGATTAGTAGGTCGGCCCTGCGAAATCAAGGGTACCCTTGTGTCCTGCGTTTCGCGACCCATGCCTTCTACATTCCTACGGCAATGTGGCCCTCGGAAGGGTCTTGTGTCCTCTCGCGTGTGGTCTCTAATCGACCTCGACTTTAGGAGATCTCTCTGCTCGAGCCCTCCTGATCGTCTGCGCCCGCGCCCTTGTCGCCCGAGACGCCGTCCGAAGCCGCACGCCCCCCGCGCCGCAGATTCTTCGCATGCGCTTCGCATGCGCTTCGCATACGCTCTGCCTCGGCACCCGTCTTCGGGAGGGCGTGCATCCTGACGCCACGGGGCGCCCTGCGGGCGCCGGGACGCCCTGCCGGCCTGCCGGCGCCTCCCGCGAGGAGGAAAGCTGCGCAAAGCGCTTGCGCGCTCTGACCTCTCGATGTCCAGGTCCACCTCCGCCACCGTCAAGCAGTGGCGAGGCGTCCTGACCTGCCACTAGGCCCGCCAAAGAATGTTCTCAGAACCTATTGTGGTTTGCACAGCGTGTTTCTCAGAACACTTGTTGCTGGCGCCGTCTTGTGCTCATACGGCGGGCTTCGATGCTCCAAGCGCACTGTCAGCGCACTGCCTTTGTTCTCAGGACATTCGTTTGTTCTGAGAACATGTCCTGGTAGGCCTACAGGGGTGCCAGGACGGTCGGCCCCTGCTCAGCACCGAGGGCCCGAGGAGAGCTGCGCCCCCAAGTGTGCCGCCGCGGCAGCCGCCGCCGCTGCGGCCTGGCGGCCACCACCGCCAGCTGCCGAGCGGCAGGCTGCTGTGCGTGCACCCGGGGGGCGCTGGCGGCTCCAGGAGTGCGGGACGCAGGGGCCGCCGTCATCGCCCAAGCGCCCCGCGGGAGAGGCGACATAGCGCGGCTTGAGCCAAGATGGCTGCGGAGAGGAGGAGGAGGAGGAGGAGGAGGACGAGGAGGAGGAGGCGGAGGAGGAGGAGGAGGGGAGGAGGAGGAGGAGGAGCGGAGGGAGGAGCGGAGGAGGAGGAGCGGAGAGGCGGAGGAGGAGGAGGCGGGGAGGAGAGAGGAGGAGGAGGCGGAGGAGGGAGGAGCGGAGAGGAGGAGGAGGAGGGAGGAGGAGGGAGAGAGGAGGAGGAGGAGAGGAGGAGAGGAGGAGGAGGAGGAGGAGGAGGAGGAGGAGGAGGAGGAGGAGGAGGGAGAGGAGGAGAGGGAGGAGGAGGAGGAGAGGAGGGGAGGAGGAAGGAGGAGGGAGGAGAGAGGAGGGAGGGAGGAGGGAGGGAGGAGGGAGGAGGAGGAGGAGGAGGGAGGAGGGAGGAGGAGGAGGAGGAGGGAGGAGGGAGGAGAGGAGGGGAGGGACAAGCTAGGTGCGCTCGCGTCATATCTGACGTCCTACCCCTCCCTCCCATCCCTTACCATGGCGCTGATTTTCTCTATCCGCGGACGCGTGTCGTAGCGGACCTGTGGCTCCGCGCGCGCGTGCGTAGTGGGTGGTGGTGCACGTGCGTGCGTGCGTGCGTGTGTGCGTGGTTGTCGTGGTGGTGGTGGTGGTGGTGGTGGTGGTGGTGGTGGTGGTGGTGGTGGTGGTGGTGGTGGTGGTGGTGTGTGTGTGTGGTGCTGTGGTGGTGATGTGGTGGTGGTGGTGGTGGTGGCGGTGCGGCGCGGTGGTGGCGGGCGGATGGGCGCGCGAGAAAAAGGCCCGCGCTGGGGCGAGAACGCCATCCTGAACGACGGAGGCCAAACACCGATCCGAAAATGAGGCCCACGCTGCAGCGGGAGCACGATTCGGAACGATTCGGGAGCAGAAATGAGGCCGGCGCCTCAACGAGAGCAGCATTTTGGGAACAAAATGACGCCGGCGCCTCAGCGAGAGTCGTTTCCCAGGATCTCCCGGGCATCCTGTGTGTAAAAAAACAGTACGCGGAGGGTGCGCGGCCATCACCCGGACGCCATCAGGGGAAGAGGGAGAGTATTTTCATATTGGGTAATTGTGGAGGGATGAGAGGGAGGAGAGGGATGAGAGGGAGGGAGGGAGGGAGGGAGGGAGGGAGGGAGAGGACGACCGACTCCAATTACGCGGAACAGGAGGACCAGGCGCCGGGGAATTCCTGCTCCCCCGTGAGGAGGGTGACCAGTCCATGCCAGATAAGGATTTCCTTGCGGCGTACAAGAAGCGCTTGCGGGTGCCGGTGTGCCCGCCCGGTGCTCGCTGCCAGCACAAGTACGCCGACACAGGACTGCCGTGCAACGAGCCCTTGGACGCGCGCGGGCGGCACGCCTGCAGCTGCCCTGTGGGGGGGTCCCGCGCTGGCCGCCACGACAGCATGAGGGACTGGCACGCCCCCGCGCACACGCGCCTCACAGGCTACTGCGCGGTCAAGGAGCAACGGGTCCCTGGTTGGGACCGGATGGACCCGCAGACGGGCGTCATGGAGGAGGCGAAGTTGGACGTTTGTACACGAGACCCCAGCACGGGCCAGCCTGTGTATGTTGATTGGAGCGTTACCTGCGAATACAGCACCTACGGCCCTCGCAGGCGCGCTCGATCCAACAGAGACGGGGTCGCGGCGGCGCAGACGGTCCACGAGAAGCGCGAGCGCTACCCTCCGCAGCACGGGAACTTGGCGCCATTAGTGTTC